TGATCCTTCCCTCACTTGGTCTATCCCAAGATGGCAGCTCCGGTTATAGCTGAGCTTCTTGATTTATGAAACAATGGATTCCTTGATTCTGCTACAAATTCCCCTAGCTGTAAGCCTTCCAATCTTCTAAATATTCCTTTAGATGTGGTTCAGAGTTCTAGCACCATACCCTGAGTCTGCTTTGACTGGTATTCTGTGTTGTTGGTGACGGAGTTCCTCACTGCATGTCTACCTGATCCTCCAGCTTGATTGTGTGTATATTTATGGAGCTCTGGTAGCATAGTGGTAATGAATTGGGCTGAGAGCTGCAAGGTCAGCAGTGCAAAACTACCAGCTGTTCCGTGGGAGAGAGGTGAGGCTTTCTGCTCCCGTAAAGATTTACAGCCTCAGAAACCCTGTACAGGGTCACCATGAGTTGGAACCAACTCCACGGCACTTAACAACAACAACAAATTATATATGTATAAGTATATGTTTATATCAAGGAAATGCCTCACTGTTACAGAGATAGGAGAATCCCAAGTGTAGGCCACGTGAACCAACATCTGTAGGCAGTTCCAGAAGGCAGGAATCCCAAGTTGGGGCACAGAGCAGGACTTTGGCACTGGAGCAGGGGTGGCAGCAGGGTGATGGTCTGCCAATGCCTGCGCAGGTGTGCTACAGAACCAGTGGCATGGGGCTCTGAGCTGAATTGACGGGAACAGGTGTGTAGGGCCCTCCCTCCATTGGGCATCAGGATTTCCAGGCACACTCAGCAGGTGGGCCCAGCAGGCAAACGTACAATAGAGCAGGCTAATGGCTCAGGTTTAAAGAACGGAGGTTGGAAGACGACCCAGATTCAAGATCCTGACGCAGCAGGGGAGATTGGGAGACTTTCCTGCATGTCCATTGGGAGCAGGCCACACCCCTAAGGAAACAGCCTTTCAATTGACTGGCTGCTCATAGCCAATCATCATAGAGTTACCTGTGCCTGTTCATCCTGGCTCAATCAAGTTGACACAGAACTTAACTAACACAATTATGATTTCATTGATTCTCTTTATTATTTTTCTGTATTTCATTTATTTCTTCTCTGATCTTAATTATATTCTTTCTTTGGATACCTTTGGCTTTCCCTTTCTAATTCCTCAAGCTGTAGCGTTAAGCTGTGGATATGTGATCTTTCTTCTTTTTTAATGTTGAAATTTACCATATTAATATCCATCTGAGTACTGTCTTTGGCTCCATGCCAAAGGTTTTTGTATGTTGTGCTTCATTATCATGCAAAACCAAGTTTTTGGTTTTTTTTTTTATTTCTCTCTTGATTTACTCTTTGACCCCATGGTTGCTTCTTGTTGTTGTTAAGTGCCATCCAGTTGATTCGGACTCATAGTGACACTGTATAGAGCTTCAGAGGTGGTAAATATTTATAGGAGCAGAAAGCCTTATCTTTCTCCTACAGAGTAGCTGGTAGGCTCAAACAGTAGACTTGTTTTGCAGTCCAGTGTTTACTCTATAGATCCACCATGTAGTATGTTGGTTTCCACATATTTGTGTATTTTCTAATTTTCCTTCTGTTAGTTTCTAGTTTTATACTATTAATGGGAGAAGATATGTTGTATGATTTCAATCTTTTTACATTTTTGAGACTTGGTTTGTCTCAAACTGTATTTATTAAGACTTGGTTTGAGATATGGGCTGTCCTGGAAAACAATCCATGTGTACTTGTTGTTAGGTGCCATTGAGTCAGTCCCAACTCATAGTGACCACAACAGAACAAAACACTGTCCGATTTTAAGCCAACCTCACAATCATTGCTACATTTGAGCCCATTGATGCTGCCACTGTGCCAGTCCATCTCATTGGGTTTTTTTCTCTTTTTCTTTACCAAACATGATATCCTTCTCCAGGTACTGGTCCATCCTGACAATATGTCTGAGGTATGAAGGACAAAGTATGGCCATTCTGGCCTCCAAGGAGCACTCTGGCTACACTTCTTCCAACACAGATCTGTTTGTTCTTTTGGCAGTCCATGGTACTTTCAGTGTTCTCCTTCAACACCATAACTCAAAAGCATCAGTTTTTCTACCATCTTCCTTATTCACTGTCCAGCTTTCACATGCATATGAAGTTATTGAAGATACCATGGCTTGGGTCAGGTGCACCTTAGTCCTCACACTGACATCTTTGCTCTTCAACACTTTAAGGAGGTCTTGTGCAGCAGATTTGCCCAATGCAATGCGTCATTTGATTTCTTGTCTGTTGTTTCCATGAATGTTGATGGTTGATCGAGATGTTGATTATTGGTCCTGTGGTGAGGATTTTTGTTTTCTTTACATTGAGGTGCAACCCATACTGAAGGCTGTGGTCTATCAATAAGTATTTTAAGTCCTCTTCACATTCAGCAAGTAAGGTTGTATTATCTGTGAGCAACATTGTGAAGTATGAGTATTCCAGAACACTTAATTGTGCTCATGAGGAACCTGTACATGGACCAAGAGAGAGTTGTTAGAACAGAACAAGAGAACACTAAATGGTTTAAAATTAGGAAATGTGTGCACCAGGGTTGTATTCTTTCACCTTACTTATTCAATCAGTATGCTGAACAAATAATCAGAGAAGCTGGATTATATGAAGAAAACCATGACCTCAAGATTGGAGGAAGATTCATTAAAAACCTGCAATATGCAGATGATACAACCTTGCTTGCTGGAAGTGAAGAGGAACATGTGTACTATATAAGAATGTTTATTGTACTGCTGTTTGCGGCAGTGTTCTATATATGTCTATTAGTTCTGACTGGTTAATAATGTTCAAATCTTCTATTTCTTTATTGATCTTCTTTCTAGTTGTACTCATTATCAAAACTGGCTTATTAAAGTCTCTTACTATTATTGTGGAGCCCTGGTGTGGTGCTATGGTTAATGCGCCAGACCGCAAAGCCATTTGAACTGCAAGGTCGGCAGTTCAAGTTCACCAGCTACTCCTTGGAAACCCTACACAGGGTCGCTATGGGTCGGAATCAACTCAATGACACTTAACAACAACATTAACAACTATTATTATAGACCTGTTTCTCCCTTTAATTCTGTCAATGTTTGATTTATACATTTGGGGACTCTGAGATTGAATGTATAAATATTGATCACTATTATATGCTTCTCATGGATTGATTTTTCATCATTATGTAGAGTCCTTTTTCTTTTATAATTTAAATTTTGTCTTGAAGTCTATTTTGTATGATGTTAAAATCACCACACTTGCTGTCTTTTGATGCATAGAAAATTTTGCCATCCTTTCACTTTCAACCTATTTGTGTCTTTGTGCCTAAGTCCTTTAAGTCTTAAAAAACTCCAAGATTTAAAATTCTTTTTGATTAAATGCTTGACCATCACTTAGAGCTGAGCTCAGTATGTAAGGGGCTCCTTGGATGAATTGGCAGATATCAGGGAGACCCCTTCTCTGGGTGAGCACTGTGGGGGGCGGGAGTGGGCACTAAACCTTCCTGGTTTGGTGGAGAGTGTGATAGGAGAGTGGTGGGAGCAAACACCCTCGTCTGGAGGCAGGCACTGGGAGAGGAAATGTGGGAAGCCACTTACCCTCTTGCCTTTGTGTTTCTCTTGAGGAACCTTTAGTCTCCTATGTTTGACCCTAAGCGTCCTTCAGAGCACACAGACCCTAAAGAGACAGGTGAGATGACAAGTATATCCAGGACCTCCCGTTGTCTCTGAGATAGGCCAGGGGGTAGGCTGATGTCTTCCAGTTCAAAGTTCCTTGTTTGCTTCTTTGAGAAGAAAATAATAAAAAGAAGAGAAAGAAATGCTGATTATTTGGTGGTGGTGGTGCTGTCAATGAATCCCAACTCATAGTGACCCTCTGTGCAACCAGCCAAAGACTGTCTGGACCTACTCTAACCTCACAGTCATTGCTGTTTGAGTTCATTGTTGAAGCCACTGTGTCATTGTCAGCGAGGGCCTTCCTGATTCTCTACTTTACCAAGCATGATGTCCTTCTCCAGGGTCTGATTTTTCATGATCGTGTCCATAGTATGTGAGACAAAGTCTCACATCTTCACTTCTAAGGTGCATTATGCCTGTACTTCTTCCCAAAGGATTTATTTGTTGGTTATTCTGGCAGTCCATGTTATATTCAGTATTCCTTGCCAACACCAAATTTAAATGCATCAATTCTTCTTTGGTTCTTTATTCATTGCCAGCTTTCACATGCACATGAGACAATTGAAAAGAATATGGCTTGGATCAGGCATACCTAGTCCTCAAAGTGACATCTTTGCTTTTTAGCACATTCGCCCAGTGCAGTATGTTGTTTGATTTCTCGGTGACTGCTTCCATGAGTGGTGATTGGAGATCCTTATAAAATGAAATCCTTGATAACATCATTTTTTCTCCATTTATCATGATGTTGTTTATTGGTCCAGTTTTGAGGATATTTCTTTTCTTTATGTTGAGGTGTTATCTATATTGAAGACTGTAGTCTTTGATCTTCATCAGTACGTGCTTGAAATCCTGTTCTCTTTCAGCAAGGAAATTCTTGCTGTCTGCATACCACGGGTTATTAATGAGTCTTCCTCCAATCCCTTTGCTATGTTTTTGTTCATATAATTTAGCTTCTTGAATTATTTGGTCAGATGGAATAACTATTAACAGCAGTGAAAACTGAAGAGGATTCTGGAGCTCTGCTATAGAAATGAAGTCTTAAAATACCAATAGAAACTGTTTAAACCCATATTTTGAAGATGCTTCGTTTCCTTGGTGGCTTCCCTGCATTTGGAGCAATTTCCATGGTGGCCTGGGGTATCACTTTCATTCTCGTCCATCAACTAGCAAGAACAGGAGAAATATTTCCAAAGTAATTTTGAAAAAAGCACCTTCCCAACACCCATTAGTATGCATAACAGTGTCATAGTGGTAGCTGCCAGGCTCTTCTGCAGCCCTGCATGCAGGCCGTGTGGCTGTCCTCACGTGATTCCCATTCATGCTGCATCTCCTCTGTGCTTCCAGGCATCCGTATGTTGGATGGTGACGTGACTGACGTCGTAGAAGCAAAGTCGCTCGGCATCCGACCCAACTACATCGATATCTACAGTGCAAGCTGGGGGCCAGACGATGATGGGAAGACAGTGGATGGGCCTGGACGGCTAGCCAAGCAAGCCTTCGAATATGGCATTAAAAAGGTTTGCAGCCCCAGGCAGCATGAGCTCTGAGGCAGGGCTGTCATTGTAGCAATAGAGAGAGCGTGGTGCTCGCCCAGAGCCCTGACGTTGGATGGGGAGACCCTGCTGCCAGGACAAGTGTGAAGAAGGGTGGGGCCAAGGGGTGTGCCCTCACTGCAATGTTGCTGTCCAGGGAGCACCAGCTCTCATCAGGTCAGCGCAGGATTCTGCCCTTGGCAAGGGGTGCCATCAGATGTGTGGGAGGGGTCTCAGTCAGATGCCTTGAGCTGTGATTTGTCCAGTGTTGATAGAAAGGGTATCTTGGGCCTTGGTCCACCTTCCCACAGAAATACACAACATGAAAGTTTCCAGTTCTGTGCCAAGCAATGTGTAAACCCAGTGTCCCTACCAAAGCAGGTAGTCAGGGTTTTTCATGCCACCTCCATCTGTCTAGTGGTTGGACTGTGGAGATGTCTGTTGCTGTGGCTTGTGCGTGGCTTTGATGCTGGAAATTATGCAACTGGTATTTCAAATCCCATCAGGGTCACCTATGGTGGACAGGTGTCAGCAGAGCTTCCAGGCAAAGATAAGACTAGGAAGAAAGACCTGGCAATCTGTTTCCAAAAATTAGCCAGCGGAAGCCCTATGGATCACTCCAGAATACTGCCTGATATAGTGCTAGAAGATGAGCTCCCAAGGTTGGAAAGCACTCCAAAAACACAGTGGCCTCGGCAATGGTCTCAAACAACTGCCAGCACGAGGCCCAACATATGCAGAGTTCCTTGGGTAAAGCCTCACCAGAAGACTAGAGAGTGAGCTTCTGAGTGGCTTGTTCTCCACAGATGGGCTGTTAGGGGACCAGGCTCGGCAGACATCCACTCCTGCCCTGCCTTCCAGCAACTCTTCACCATCAGTTTTTGATCTTGAGGTGAGGAAAAGAAGCCAACAGATGCAGCAGTTCTTAAAAGTGGGACTCAAGGCACATTTCTGAGTGAGGATTGCTTCTTGGAGCAGATGGAGCTGTGGCCCAGCAAGCCCTAGCCTAGAGTGCAGTGCATGGCTGGAGAGTTCTGGCTGGTCTGGCAGGAAGGCAAGGCTTCTCTGGGGCCAGCATTCATGCCTTCTCTCTTCAGGATAGGGGAGGTTGGCCCATCGTTGTTCCAACTAATAGTGACCCTTTATAGGGTTTCCGAGGCTGTAAATGTTCACGAAAGCTAAAAGCCTCATCTTTCTTGTGCTGAGTGGCTGGTGGGCTCAAACCACCAACCTTGTGGTTAACAGTCCAGTTCTTGTCCTGCAGCACCACCAGGGGACCTACACTCCTAAGCCCTTTGTAGTATTTATATAATTAAACTTTTTTTTTTTTAAGTTCTCATACTGGAGACTTCTGGTTTGGCAGCAGCAGAGCAGAGTCAGGTAAGATAGGCTCCATGGGGGAGGGCCTGAAAACCTAGAGACGTGGCTGTAATGAAACTACACCAGAGCTCTGGATCTTGCATAAGGGTCAGGGCGTCAGTTTCCCTCAACCGCCAGTGGAAAAATCATGGTATAAAGGAGAACATTGCATTTTAGAAATCGGTCAAGGCACAGAGAACCAGCGCTAAAAGTGGTGAAGTGACATTTGCAAAAGGAGGTGTGGAGGGATTCTACAAGTTTTTTTTCCTCCTCTTCCCTGTTGTGCCTTCTTTGCCCAGCCTGGACACCTTCAGGCAGAGGGGGCACACCCCAAAAAAAGTCCAGCATTGAGACCACAGCTTTCCCACAGCACAGCGAGAAAGAACCCCATCAATCCAAGGGCAAATCCTTTGGCTGCTGCTTTTGACTTCTGCCTATGAGTCCCAGCCCTAAAGTTAACTTGTGCGGGACCATTTACCCCTGCCTATCCAGAAAGAAAAAAGCAGGTTTGGCCTGACATACAAACCATATGAACAATCTGTAAAACCCCAACATAAAAAGACGCAACTGTTCCAAGAACTACGCTGTGCACATGCAGAGACTTAACTGACCTTCAGAGACAAAAATAGTAAACTTCACACCTCTATGGTGGTGACTGAAGGAGGGGCCTGAGCAAGTGGACACCCTCACTCACTACTGGAGGCTTCTACAGTGCAAACACACTGCCTGTGTAGCAAGGTGACTAGACAGTCGGCCACAGTTTTATTTTTGTTTCAAAGTGGAGGTTCTTATCTCTGCTTTTATATTGCTTCTACTTTGGGGCCTTTTGATCACACATTTTTCCTGGAGGTGGGAGCTTTTCCTCCCTATGTTACCCAGGAAGAGTCAGCAATTGGATCCATATAGCCAAGCTACAAGCATACCCCATAATATTCCACCATTGAGACAAGAGCCAATAACAGCTGCTAAACATTACATTGAAAAGGGAAGCCTATCACCTGATCATGTCCACCAGGAGACACCCAGTATGCTTAATAATGCAACAACAAACATCCATTTAAGCCTTTAAAAAGCACATAACTACTGGAAACGACAAACAAAAGATCTCAAACACAACAAATGATCTCAAAACATGTCCAAAAACAGAAAAGAGTAACTGAGACAAATTAGCTGGAGACAGACAAAGGCTCCCCAGAAGAGGAAGGGCAGGTTTTGGATTTGCCTGAGAAAGAATTCAGAAAAATGATATGGAAACAAAGTCAAATGCTCCAAAAAGGGGTAGAGGAAAACAAGGAAGAAGTCAGGAAAGTACTACAAGAGCAATCAAACAAGATTGATACAGCTTGGAAACAATTCAAAACCTACAAAAAGAGGTCCAGATGATTAATAATAAAATATCAGAAATGGGCAATACACTGAAAGGGGAAAGGAGCAGAATAGAAGAGATAGAAGCCTGAACTAGTGAGCTAGAAGACAAATCTCTCAATACTGCTAAGATAGAAGAGCAAGCTGAAAAAAGGATTTAAAAAATCTGAAGAGAGTGTAAGATTCATGCTGGATAATATGAAGAGAAACAACTTAAGAATTATTGGCATTCCAGAATTGGAAGAATCAGAGAAGCCCATAGAGCAGATAGTTGAAGAGTTTCTGGAAGAAAATTTCCCTAACATCTTGAAAGATGAGAAGATAAACATTCAAGAAGCCGAACATACTCCAGGAAGGATAGACCCCAAAAGAAAGTCACCAAGACATAAAAAGTCACCAAGACATAAAAATAATCAAGCTCTCCAAAATCAAAGACAAAGAGAGAATCCTAAAGTCTTCATACTGTAACCCATGCACACTGATGAAAATGTGGTTTATCAAAAGTTGTGTGATAGGTATATTTACAACAACAACAAAAACAAAATAAGAAGGAGGAAAAGACCTCATGGGATTCATTTTCTTGGTTGGGAGGTTTAGGGTCATGGTTTCATAGGACATTCCAATTGCTTGGCATCATAACGTGTTTAGAGCTTCTGTTCATTGCGTAGTGCCTGGGCTCTTAAAAATGACCATGCAGGGCACAGTCATTGGTCTCCATCTACCTGGAATAACAGAGGAATGGGACTCTGGAGGCAAAGGAGGATGTGGAATGTGTGGCTAATTGCTTCCATGAGCAGCTGCCTCCTTTGTCATGAGACCAGAAAAGCTGGGCGATGCCTATCCACCACCTCTGAACACCTTGATCAAAGATTCTACAGAAAAATTCTGATCAAAGGGAAAAATGTAGAACAGCATTGTCAATTCTTATGGAATCCAGACATTCTGACCCTACTGCCATGGGAGAGTCTTTAAACCTTAAGCCAAAAATTATCCCCTAAAATCATCTTAAAACCAAATAATAGTTTAACTTAACTAGTAAAATATGTCTGCCTTGAGCATTATACTCTTTTAAGAACAATTTATATAGGATCAAATTGACAGAAGCAACTCAGAAGATTAGATCAGAATCTTAGGGGGTGGGCAGTGAACATGTATTAATGGGGGGAAAACAACTCAGAAAATGATTACACAACTCAAAGAACGCAATCAGTGTCACTAAATGGTATTTTCAGAAACAGTTGTGTTGTGTATATTCTCAACTACAAGTCACAAAATAAAAAATTTAAATATAGTTTGTATCAGGAGGATTGTATTTTAAATAAAAGCATTTCCTTGTCCCCTGCTCAGCTTTGCTTCACAGGGAAACACCATTTTTAACTGTTCCCTTTTTCTAAATAGCAAGACTTGTTTGCTAATTTTGGACCTAACTGGGTTTGGCCACTTTGATTAATTTCCCATGATGGGGGCTGAGAATGTATATCTTAGAATGCCCCCCAATGTGCTTTGCCACACCCAAGAGTGCTCTGGGGCTTTCTCTGATTTCCTGCCACTTCCCAGGCCTGGGACCTCAGCCAGGTGCTCCACCCCTTGCCCAGGAGAGACTGGTTTGCATTTCATAGAAGTTGGATGTGAGCCTGCTCCGTAAATACACAGTGAGGCTTCTCCTTTGGCACCCTCCCCTGCCTTGGATGCCTGAAAACCAAGTTGCCAGAAGTGGGGTGTTGGTGCTCGTGTGCCACAAAGCTCAGTGCTCACCCAGACACTCATGGAACGTGCACATTTTGTGAGAATAAAGAGAAAGAAAGAGAGGAAACAGACATGCGTCTGCAACACTTGAACTCTTGCTCGCACTTGGGTCATGTGACAGCATCCCTTGCTCTCTGTTGCTCCATGAAAACACAAAATAGGCCCATTCAGATAGGTTGATCACCAAAGATGTGCAGTGCTGGGCATGCAGTGACTTCCAGGAGCCTCCAGTTTAAACCAGTCCAGTTCCTCCAGAACTCTGCTGCCAGCTGAATCCCACAGATCTGACTTTGGATGACAATTGACACATCATCCTCACAAGTAGACTTATGGGGTAGAAGTGGTTCAGTGGCAGCCTTCCATGTGGGAGATCCAGGCACTATTCCTGACCCATCTACCCCAGCACAGCTACCACCCACCTGTCAGTGGAGGTTTGTGTGTTGCTAGGGTGCCAAACAAATTTCTGTGAGCCTCCAGACTGAGACAGACTAAGAGAAGGGGCCCAGTGATCTACTTCTGAAAATCAGGAAATGAAAACCCTGTGGATCACAATGGTCTGCTATGCAACAAGACCTGTGGCATTTCTCCCCATGGAACACAGGGTCACCGTGAGTCAGGAAGCCAACTTGATGGCAGCCAACAAGAAGAATGAAACTTAATTTAAGCTCAGATGTTGTTGTTGTTAAGTGCCATCAAGTTGGTACCAACTCATAGTGGCCCTATGCACAACAGAATGAAACACTGCCTGGTCCTGGGCCAACCTCACAACTGTTGCCACACTTGAGCCCATTGATGCTGCCACTTTTGCCAGTCCATCTCGCTGGGAGTCTTCCTCTTTTTCTCTGACCCTCCACCTTACCAAACATGATATCCCTCTCCAGTGACTGGTCCCTCCTGACAATGTGTCAGAAGTATGAGAGACGAACTTTGGCCATCCTGGCCTCCAAGGAACACTCTGGCTGCACGTCTTCCAACATGGATCTGTTAGGGTTGCTAAATTACAGCTTGCATTTTCTCAATGAGAGACACTGCCTTGAATGACTACCTTCCTGAATGCCTGTTATTTCTGTGCCTCCTAAAAATGAAAGATGCTGCTGATGGGGGAGGGAGGGGTCTTGATGGCTTTGTGGGGAGTGTACTTTGCACTAGTCAAATGGTTGTTCTGGCTCTCTGATTCACTGAAGTCTGTGTAGACTGAACCCATATAAGGCTCTGGAAAGCTTGGTCGCTGCAGAGAAGGGGTCTTTACATCCCAGACTCTGAGGAGTATCAGCTTCATTGAGCTGTCAGAGAATGGGGAAGTTTTCAGGGGGACAATGAGGTTCCCCTATTGTTCTTGTCACAGTTCCTTGAAACACTGAAGTCATTTTTTTTGTCATTCTGAAGTAAAATGTTTCATACAGGGAGACTGAAATCACAGCTGTCTAATTCTGTCATGGAAAACCCTCAGACAGATCTGATGATCCCAAATAGAACTTCATCCCATCTGTTTCTCCTCCTCGGGCCCCATTTGTCATCTGAGATCTGTTTCTGTAAAGTCTGACTTCAGTCTTTGGTGGTTGATAGTGGTGGCATGGTAGGAGATTCCAAAAGCCATAGTTGTGCTAAGTGAAATAAAGCAGACACAAATGACAAACATTGTATGATTCACTCCCCCCAAAACAGAACAAAACGCACAGCCATCAAATTGATTCCAACTTGCGGCAACTGCATATGGAACAGAGTAGAATTGGTCCATAGGGCTTTCTTGGTTGTCACAGTCACAAAATGTAGATCACCAGGTCTTTCTTACACAGTCCTGCTGAGTAAGTTCAAACTGCTACCCATTAGGTTAGTAGCCAATTTCAGAACCTTTGAGCCATCCAGGGGCTCAGTATGATCCCACTTATATGAAATATCTAGAATACAGAAAGCAGAGAGTGGAGGTTACCACGGGCTAGAAGTGTGGGGGAGGGGAAGTACGTATGTAGTTGGTGCAGACTTTCTGTTTGGGGTCGTAAAGAAGAGTGAAAAATAACCACAATGTGGTTGCACCACATTGTGACGTATGCAGCTGTATTGTACACTGTAAGACAATTTACATGGCAAATGTTACGTTAAAAAAGCGATTGAGCCATAGATTGATATGGCAGAGCTGTTTAATGTTGGTCCTTCTAAAGCTTTCCTCCTCATTCTGGGGGAGGGTCATACAGCCATGGCTAAAACCACTGGTTGTGTCCCGATGGTAGACACGCCACAGAAACAATGTTCTCACTTTACAGATCCATTCACCTCTTCCCAGGCAAGACGCTGAAATGCACTCAGATAGTTTCGGTGGGACTTTACTGAGCAGAAATGCAAGTTCACTGGAGGCTGGGACATCCCTGTAGCTCTGCCCTTTGGCTGGTGGGGGACCTCAAAGTGAACAAGCTGTCCTCAAAACAGCTCAGAGTACCCCTAATGTCCATGCCCTTTGTCCAAGCAACTGCTCTGCAGAGAGAGAGCCTGTGGATACTCTGCCACCTGTGAGAACTCCTTGGTCCATAGTACATATAGTTGTTGTTGTTAGGTGCCATCGAGTCAGTTCCGACTCATAGCGACCCTGTATAGTGTTTCCAAGGAGCAGTTGGTAAATTTGAAGCACACTGACCTTGTGGCTCAAAACGACCTTGCAGTCCAGTGCTTTATACCACAGCAGCACACCAGGATCCCCTGTAGTACATACTGGGTGTAAAGTGGAAAGATTTCAGTCTTCATCTTTGTCACTCTATGGGGTCCCGGCGCCAGCACCATCGGCATCACCTGTAAGTGTTAGACATGCTGAATCTCAGAATCTTCATTGTAGCAGATTGTAAGCACCTTAGAGATTCACTGTTTCTGAAGCCATCCATAGCATTTTCCACTTTGCACAATGACAACTTTCTATAAAGAATCCTGAGTGGGACGGGGAGTCATGGATGACAGCGTCTTAGAGATGATGTTCATGTGGTATAAAATTCGAATGGGATGGGTTAGGAGCTCCTTGGTGGTGCAGTTAATGCACTTGACTGCTAAAGGAAAGATTGGCTGTTCAAGTCCACCCACATGAGCCCCTGGAAGACAGCCTTGCACTCTGCTTCCAAAAATCAGCCGTTCAGAACTCTGTGGCACACACTTCTACTCTGACACACAGGGAGCCACAAGACTGCGTCAGTTCAATAATATTGCTTGTTACAGTGATGGTCACATACCTTCCCATTTAGATTTTAGTCATTTTCAATGAGCGTCAGTGTAATAATTTCCTACAACTAATCAGATGCACAGACGTAGCCATTTCTTTAGTACTCTATGCCTTTCTTCCAGAAGGTTAAGTTTTTGGCTTCTGGCCATCAGGCAGTTGCCCCTTTAAGATGTAGAGAAGTATAAACCAGGCATCATGATATTGCAGAACTGAGTGAGCTCAAGTCCCCTTCCTGTGGGTTCTGTTGAGGTTGTAACTGGAGGACACAGTAGGAGCATGGCAAAACAGTCACAAAGAGGTCAGGGAACTGCTGGTCCGCTTGGTGTATGTGCTGGAGTGGTGTGGACTCACAGAGCAGACACACAAGCACAGCCAGGTGGATCTGGCACTCTTCTCCAGGTGGGGCTGTGCATAGCTAACAAGCCTAGCCATCTGGACTGAACCAATCACTAATCTCCGAGTTTTTCCTGGTTAAGTGAGTCTGTGACCAGAGTGACCACTTGACTCTCTGAGAAATCATTGGTTCTATCAGTGTGGAGTAAACTAGAGGCACAGGGACCCACCCTGATCAACCATTGTCCTTCAGAGACTAACTTTCCTGTGTCCATTCTTTACAAACCAAAACCCACTCACTGGTGAAGTTGCTGCCCTGACTCAAGATCCCAACCTTCACCTGTGCCAAAGCCTCCAGGCTGCAGTTCAGACTCCCAGGAGCAGCCAGACACTCCTTGCTTGTACAAACTTCAACCAGAATTCTCTCTCCCATCCTATATGCAAAACTAGCTGGCTTTTTAAAATAACAAAAAAGGGCACATCTTCAGTCACATTTCCCCTCAAGGCTGTCTCTTTCAGTTCAGAACAGTTGAAGTGACTGACTGAGCCTTCCTGCTTCATCTCTGACTTAACTTGTAGCTCAACTTGGTCTTTTTTTTATTATGAGTCATGTTAATGAAAATTATGGGCACTGCTTTGAAACAGTGCCGCTTGTATTTGTGCATTCAGTGTTCCTGTGAAGAACAGAGGGCTCTTTGGAGTCCTGTGACTCTGTGGCGTACGGCTGTTGCCACAGGTAAAAGCACTGTATTAACATCAGCAGAGTCTCCTCAACAGCAGGGCCTGAGCAATTTAGTGATGTCTTGATGCTCCCTCCTTCCTCTTGTGCAGGAACTTTTAGATGAAGACTCCAGACTGGTGTACACCCTACCTGTGCAGCCCCGCTAGGGTCTGCTGCCCTGGTTTACAGTGTGTTTCTCTTGCCCCTCCAGGGCCGACAGGGCCTGGGCTCCATTTTCGTCTGGGCCTCTGGAAACGGTGGGAGAGAAGGTGACTACTGCGCCTGTGACGGCTACACCAACAGCATCTACACCATCTCTGTCAGCAGCACCACTGAGAATGGCTACAAGCCCTGGTACCTGGAGGAGTGTGCGTCCACGCTGGCCACCACCTACAGCAGCGGTGCCTTTTACGAGCGGAAAATAGTGAGTTTGGTGGGCACGTTCGAATCTCTTGTTGCAAAGTGCCATCCAGTCGCTTCTGACTCATAGCAGCCCTGCAGAGAGTTTCCAAGGAGTGGCTGGTGGGTTTGAATAGCCAACCTTGTGGTTGGCAGTCTAGTATTTATCCTACAGTGACACACCAGGACTTCATAAAACTCTCTGGAAGGTGCTAATCAAATATTCAGCTACTAAAGCAGACACTGGTGGTTTGCATCCAACCAGAGACACCTTCAGAGAAAGACCCCTTCTGGTGAGCCCCTTCTGAAAATGCAGCCAGTGAAAATCCTATGGAGCATAGTTCTACTCTGACCCACATGGGCTTGTCATGAGTTAGAGCCCGCTCCATGGTGACTAGGGGTTTTATTTTGGTTTGTTTTTGTTGGTTTGGAGTTTTGTGAATTGAAGAGTGCATGGCTTGCATCCAGCCCTTTGGAGACAGCTGCCTTCCCCCTTAACAAGAGATGAATGAGGTCCAGGGTATGTGCCAAAGCCCCAGGATTGCTTCATTCATTTGTGATTAGCAAACCCCAAGGGAAGGATCTATAGTTCTTTAACAATCCTCCTCTAGCCCTGCCTTTTTCATCTTTGCACAAATGTACCAGTGGAAAACTTCTGTGGCTTTAGAAAGGAGCTCTGGTAGCTCGGTATTTAAACTCTCAGCTAATTGGAGGGTCAATGGTTCAAACCCACCAGCCACTCCATGGGAGAAAGATGTAGTAGTCTGATTTTATAAAAGAAACCCTCTGGGGCAGTTCTACTCTGTCCAATGGTTGCCAACGGCTCACTGTGAGTCAGAATCAACTCAGTGGCACATCTCAATGGCACAACAACATGGTTTTAGAGATGTATAAAAGATCATGTAAGACTGGACTCCATGCTTATGCATGCGCACCATGATGGTTCCTGTCTTCAATCCTGTGGTCACATCACTTGGAATTCTATTGACCAGTACCGGTTCCATTTGTAAGTAGAGTGAGGCTTTATACTAAAACACATGAGAAATCCAAGTGTTCTAGGCATTCCCTTCCTTCCAAATGCTTCCTCTGGTTTCTTTATTAACGTAAAGAGATTTATTATCTTAATGCTGTGGTTCTAGTCTATTTTCTAAATAAAAAAAATCAGTTGCTGTGGAATTCACCCATCTCAAGAGACCCACTGTGTGTCAGAGTAAAAACTGTTCTCCAAAGGGTTTTCAATGGCTGGATTTTTGGAAGTTGGTTGCCAGACATTTCTTTTGAGTCACCTCTACATGGACTTGAACCTCCAACTTTCAGTTAGTAGCCTACTGTGTTAACTGTTTGCACTACCCAACGTCTCCACTCACATTAATTTTAAATTGTATTTATTCTTTAAAAAATAACTGTTTATTATGTGGGTGGAATTTATACTTCTTCCTTTCCTATTTTAAAAAGAGGGGGAAAGTTTCAACTCCAAAATAATTCCAAATTTAAATGTAGTCATTAAGTTGGTTTTTAGACATTTTAACAATGAGGCCTTGGAGCTGTCCTGGCATGGATTAATTTTAAAGCTCACTAGCATCTTTTCATTTCTCCTGCCTGGTGTCCACGACTTTAGAAACTATTTGCACGCAAGCCACCTGGTCTCTCTTTGCTCTTCTCTGTCTGGAAAGTCAGCTGGGAGTGCTAAACACCAGTCCGCCATGGTTGGGTTAGTTTGCTCAATAATTAAATTAGGTTGTTATTTGCTTCTTCTTTTGGAGTGCATGCACCAGGATGGGCAACTGAGATTCTGAATGGTGTCTGTTCCTTTCAAAATCTCACTCATCTGAACATGAACTTCCTGGAGTCTAATAAAATAGATGCTTGTGCGGAAACCTAACACAGGTCTACTGGTGAATGGGGGTGAATCTGAGCTTGCATTTTTGGACCCTTTGTACAGTGGGCTGGGTGCAGAGAGGATGGGCTATTCCAACCTGGGAGTGGGGCTTGTATCACACATCTGTATGTGTGAGACAGACAGACTGATAGAGATGGTTCCTTTGGAAGAGGAGCTGAATATTTACTATAAGGTTTTTGCAAAGTAACTGCTGGAACCTTGTGTCTGGGAGATGTCTTAGTTATCAAGAGCTGTTATAAAAGAAATACCACAAGTGGATGACTCTTTAAACTGTGAGAAAATTTTCTTTTCTCACAGGTTAAAAGCCTAGAAGACTGAATTCAGGATGTTGGCCCTAGGGGAAGACTTGTTCTCTCTGCCAAATCTAAAGGGACGTCCTTGTCTGTTTGAGCTTCTGGTTCTGGGATATCTTCATGTGACTTGCAGTCTCTCCTCACCATCTATGCTCACTTGCTTATTTAATTTATCTCAGAAAAGGTTGACTCAAGATAAACCCTGTACTGCTCCTGCCGCATTAGCAAGTGACAACACAGACAGCCCACACCACAGGCTTGTTGTTGTTGTTGTTAAGTGCTGTTGAGTCAGTTCTGACTCATAGTGACCCTGTATAGGATTTCCAAGGAGTGGCTGTTGAGTTTGAACTGCTGACCTTGTGGTCCAGTGCTTTATCCTACAGCACCACACCAGGACTCTAACCATAGGCTTAGAAGCTATGAATTCCAACACAGATTAGGGGGCACATAATTCAATCCATAAAATTCTACTCTTTATATTTTTTTGAAGAATGAATTTATTTGTATGTACATAGAAAGCAGCCACATACATTAGCCCAACTTGGTGAACACTATTCTACTCTTTAGTCCCCCAGAATTCAAGTCATTCCCACATGCAAAACACATTTACCCCCATTAAATCTTTAATCAATGCCACATCCAAAATCTCATCCTTTGACTCATTGGAATCAAATATGGATGAGACGTTAGACCTGTTCTACCCAGGGGCAAATTTCCTCTTCATCGGTTACCCTGTGAAATCTAGATTCAAGTGATCTGTTTCCAAAGTGCAGTGGGAGAACGGGCATAAGGTAGACATTTCCATGACAAATGGGAGAAATTAGAGGAAAAGAAGGCGCCAAGCAAGTCCAAAGCCCAGTAGAACAAATTACATTAACTCTCAAGGCTTGAAAATAATCCTCTGTTCCTTGGAAACATCTGGGCAATGGCTCTGGGTTTAAGCTCCTCCTCCCTGGCCCATTGGGATGGCAACTCTACTCCTTCAGTTTGGGCAGCCCCATTTTCCCAGCCCATATGAATGACAATCCCACACTCTTGACCCAGGCAAGAGTAGTCCCACACTCTTCTGCCCCTAGGTTATGACAGTCCTGCGACTTGAGCTTCGGGCAGCAGCCCAATTCCCCTAGCACCTTTAATGGCTGCCCCAAATTCTGGAGCTGAGTTGGTAGAGATCTGTCTTTTTGAAACTTAGAAGGCCTTGACCCCGCCCTTTGAAACTCAGCAAGCCACCCTTTGAAATCAAGGCAATCCTGCTTCCAGTGCTCCTCCTAGCAGTCTATTAGTCTCTGAGTTGCTTCAGGGGTGGTTCCTTTCTTTTCTTGGTGGACAAGATGCACCTCCTTTGGCTGCTTCTTATCTCTGGAATTCCAAGAGTGTTGCTTCCTTTTGCTCTTTCTCTGTTCCCTTCTGTCTAAGTTGATGCATATTCTGCTCTGATAGTTGGTTAGACCCATCAGTCACATGATTAATGCCTTTAACAAAGAATATTCTAGAACACATATCCTTAGTTTGTACACTAGAATTTTCCAAATCTTTTAAGTTTTGTTTTCATTTTGTACAGTTCATTTTTAAATACTTCTCTCATGTTTTACTAGAAGCAGCAAGGAGAAACCATGCAGCCCTTTTAAGATCTTTCTTAGAAATATCAACCAAATATCCAGGTTTATCACCTTCCGTAGTGGTTACGAATCGGGCTGCGAACCATAAGGTCAGCGGTTCGAAACTACCAGCTGCTCTGCAGGAGAAAGATGAGGCTTTCTACTCCTGTAAAGATTTATACCCTCGGAAACCCTGTACAGGGTCACGATGGGTCGGAACCGACTTGACGGCATTTAACAACAACAACAACAATCAAACACTTGAACATAGTTCAGGCAAGTTCTTTGCCACTGCATGAACAGGAAACTCTTCTTCATTGTGTAATCACATGTGTATTACTGTCTTTTAAAGCCTCACCAGAAGCACATTCAATATCCACATTTCTAGCAACATTCTGTTGCTGGTGCCATATGTATTCTTTGAGACAATAAAGGCTTTCCTATAGCTCTCCTCACTTTCTTCTGAGCCATCACTGAAATTGCCATTGGTGTCCATAATTCTGCCAACAAGGTCTTCATGGCAATCTAGGCTTTTACTGCTGGGCACCTTAAAACTCTTTCAGGACTTCTGGCCAAAATGGCAACCTCGCTATCCCTCTATAGCAAAGACCTGAAAAACTAAGTAAAACAAATACAGAACACGATCCTGGAACCCTGAGCATCAAGTGAAAGGATAAAGACGGAACACTAACTTGCATTGAACACTAACTTGGAGAAGAACCTGACTAGCAGCAGTGAAGAAAAGAAGTGCCATCCTAGGTCAGGACCAGAGACGACAACTTTGTGAGATTCACAGTAGGACATACAGTAATTATATAGACTTACCCATAGTGAAATAAGGTCCCAATTGGTGGCTGTACCAATGGGCTGTAGCCACCTTCACCTAGCAACCAAAGGAGCCTACCCATCCCTGCAGCCCCAACCAATGGGACCAAAGTACAAGCTTCCTTTTTCCTCTACCCAGCCCTAACTGCCACCCTCTTCTCCCACCACAAACTCTGCCAAGTTTTAGCAAGTTGCTTCAGCATGGTATTTACTGCTCACTCTGTCCCTCCTCCCTGCCAACCCAGTTGAGTAGAGGCAGACCATTGCTGTGTGATGACAGCTACTCACTTTCCCCTCATGCCCAACAACCCAGCCAAGCACTAGCAGACTGCCCAGATGCAGTGCCAGTTGCTCACCCATTCTTTTCACCCACTAATCCAGACAAGTAGTAGCAGATAAGTCATTTCCA